CTTTTTATATCACAGAAGTTATCCAATTATTTTCGTCGATCATCAGGTGAAGCGATACTTTTTTCAAGGGACTGTACGTCAATATAGAGAGAGCCATCAAGGAATTAAACCTTCTTCAGATGAATCGCCGAATAAATGGGAAATTTATTGTATGTACTATATATATGAATTTCGCGTCTTATTTATTTTTACTAGTGCATATATTGTGTCATCTTTGTAATCATGGTCATTGTATCTCACTGGAGGTGCGATAAGGAAGTTATATTTATTCGTTTGAGCACGTGCTTGGAATTTTTATCTTATATTTAGTTACACAAATCAAAAATTATAAAAAATTTTTTTTCAAAATATGGATATTTTTGCTGATAATGATAATAATATTATTAAAGATGAAAAAATTATTGATAAATTACTTTTAAAAGATGACGATGATGTTGGTGATCACAATGAAGATGTTGAAAATGATGATTCTGACGAACAAGATGATGATGACGACGATGACGACGACAACGACGACGACGACGACGATGATGAATTAGATCAAGAATTTGATGATGATTTAATAAAATTAAATATCTCTAATGATAATTTACTTGATGGTAAAGAAATTGAGCCTGATTTACAAATAATTCAACAACGAATTCAAGATATAATAAGAATTCTCAATGATTTTGGGAACCTTGGAGATCATAAACGGTTAATAATATATAATAATTGGCTCCACCTTCTCGATTTTTTTTTTTGCGATTTTTCACATTAACGCATCATATTTATCATATTTGTATTTAGAGGAAGATCTTCCTATGTGGGGCAACTTATTAAAGACATGTCAATATATTATGGATATTCTGAGTTCTTGATGGAAAAATTATTTCATCTATTCTCAACATCAGAAGTATTAATCAATTAATTTACGAATTCAATCCAATATATTCATTCGTTCGTTCGTTCATTTGTTCAATAATCTATTTGAATTATTAGGCTATTGAGTTTTTTGAGGCAAATGAAGTACCTAGACCAGTGACGATTCGAGCAAATACATTACGTACACGTCGTAGAGATTTAGCTCAAGTAAAATAAGAATTATTATTGTTTTTGTTGTAATTTTTTATATTTGACTAAAATCAGTTGATGATTTTATTTCGATTTTTTAAAAAATTTGTTTTGTTCTAGGCTTTAATTAATCGTGGTGTTAATTTAGAGCCTATAGGAAAATGGACAAAAGTTGGATTAACAATTTACGATTCATCTGTACCAATCGGGGCGACACCAGAATATCTTGCAGGTCATTACATGTTACAGGCAGCATCATCTTTCTTACCTGTTATGGCATTGGCACCTCAAGAAAATGAAAAAATACTTGATATGGCATCGGCACCAGGTGGAAAAACATCATACATGTCAGCGTTAATGAAAAATACAGGAATAATATTTGCTAATGATTCAAACAAGGATCGAATAAAATCTTTGGTAGCAAATATACATCGTTTAGGAGTAAAAAATGCTATTGTATGTAATTACGATGGACGTGAATTTCCTACTGTTATGGGTGGATTTGATAGAGTATTATTAGATGCGCCTTGTAGTGGTACAGGTGTTATATCAAAAGATCCATCAATTAAAATTAACAAGGTAGGAGGAAGATTTTTAAAGAATTCATTATATACATAAACATTATACATATATTTTTACTTATTTTTCATTAATATGTAATGCAGACTAGTAAAGATTTCACAAAATTATCTCATTTACAAAAGCAACTTATATTATCAGCAATTGATTCAGTTGATGCTAAATCACCTACAGGTGGATATATTGTATATTCTACTTGTTCAGTAACAACAGATGAAAATGAAAATGTGGTGAATTATGCTTTAAGGAAAAGGCCGAATGTCAAATTAGTTCCAACTGGTTTGGATTTTGGTAAAGAAGGTTTTATAAGGTGAGTGGACAATTGTTAATTAATTATATATAAATTCGTACATTTATAAATATATGATAATAACAATATTACTGTTATTATTACTATTATCATCATTATCACTAAATTAAAATCTTCAAAGTTATCGAGGTAAACAATTTCATCCTTCGCTAACCTTATCAAGAAGATTTTATCCACATGTAAACAATATGGACGGATTTTTTGTTGCGAAATTTAAAAAATTTTCAAATAACTTTAATAATCTCAACAATAATAATAAGAACGTTGTTGATAATGATGAAGATAATGATGTTCCAAAGAAAAAATCTAAAAATAAAAATAAAAAAGATGAAAACATAAGCTTCGATTCTGACGAAGATAATAAATATATACAAGGTAAATTATGAAACATGTAGTTAAATATTCTTAGTTGTATGATTAATATTTTTCTGTTTTGTTACCGGTAATCACAGCATCAATGAAAAAGTCGTTGAAACGGAATGGAAGAGCAAAAAAACAAAGAATAGAATGAACCAATAGAGCAAGTAAACAAACAAGTAAACAAATAAACGAATAAAATTAATTTAAATTATAAAAAATCTATATGTTTGTGTAATTGTTATTGTTACAAATTAATCTAAATCTATTTTGGTTAATTCAGCTTTCTCCATTTTTCTGCAAAGCTCCCTGGCAATATAATGCCATGAATATTTATGTACAAGAATCTTTGACCCTACTTCCCAAACACGTTTTCTTTTCCTTTGATATTCATCTTCCGGTATTGAAAGTAGAATTTTATCAATCAAATGCGCGTCTGATCTTTTTATGAATACCGAAAAACTAGACACAATATGCAAAATGATTAATAATTAATTCAAATTTTTGATTAAAATATATATATATATATATATATTTATTCTTGGAATAATTACCTGTTCCAATCGACATCATTTTCAAATGGTAAAATTATACCATCAGATATAATTACCGGAACAACTCCAAATGCTAAATATTCCCAAAGCCTAGTTGTGTCTAATGTCCATCCTTGCGGTGTAAGTCCATATTTCGTCCTTGATAAAAGTCTTGCATATTCCTCGTGTGTATGGCCGTTTTCCTCATCAATATCATACCTAGGTAACTTAGCTAATCCGTTAAATAATAACGACCTAATGCCAAGGGAATATACATCATCTGGTTTGGTGGACTTGCAACATCCTCTAAATGCAGCAAAGATGTTTCTACTATAAGGATTACCATCCGAATTTAAATAATCACCAGGGTTAATATTTGCCACGTTTAATATACGCGTGATAGATGGTACAACTATGTCGGACACTCTTTTATCTACATGGTTATACTGACAACAAGGTCTTTTATCACCAACCGTGGTAAGAAATGTTGAATTAAGCATTAAATGTCGTGCGGTATTATAATATAATGATGCATGATCCATTGGGTGTATCATAATATGATTTTTTCCGTTTGTTCTGTTCCAGTATGGAAAATCCTGAATAATATGATTCATAAGAGGTATTGCATAATTATCATCTACATTGCATCTTTTTGTCCAATTCCAATTATTATTGTCCCAGCAATTCATTAAATAACACGATCCAAAAAACGGTATTAAAAAAAAATCTGCCTTTTCTGCATCCTCTGTCACATATAAATCTCTAATTTTGCCTGGTTTAAGAAGTTTTTCATAAAGTACGACTTCTGAATTATAATTCGAGCCAGTGCAAATAACATGCTTATAATAACTTTGACTTTGCAACTTTATTGGAATGTCATAGACAAAAATTTTAGGTTTGCAAAGCGCATATTGAATATTTGGTGGCCATGAAGCATACATGCTAGTTAATGGTGGTAAGGGTTCCAAAATCTCAGGTTGTTGAGTATCATGACTATAACTTATCCATAAAATTGACAGGCTCATTAATAAAAGCGCTATAAAAAATATATTTTTTTTAAAGTATGTTATATTCATCATAGTTGCCGCTATTATTATTATCAATTTAAAAAAAAACTTCCCACTATATATACACTATATATATAATAATGTGTGGATATCACGTTTGCATAAATGGTGTTATTTCATTAGTTGGCTAATCACTACCCAATCAAAAAAACGACTTTTTTCTATATTTGTTCATCAAGTGATTGACAATTTGTCCATTTTCATTCAATTCGTATAAGACAAAAAATACTATGAACCCCAATTTCATATTTAATATTAATATTTCTATTTATGCCAAAAAAAATTTTTTTTAATGAGTTTGCTCTTATTGGGCTAATTGCAATTATTCCTAATATTTAATATAATAAACAGACTAGAATAAATAGACTAGTTCATCAACGATACCACGCGGACACACAGATCCTTTAGTCTTTAATCCAATTAACTTTACCCTAATACTAACCTTTCAATATCGATTTACCCTAAAAAATGTAACATATTAATATCTATGTGGTTTCTGGGGTCCCGTAATGGCGTATATAATGCATCAATTATTAATTGTTTACTGTGTAAATGACACAATAGATCAACTTTAATACTAAAAAAAATTTTTTTTTCCAAAATTTTATTATAAAATTTTTGCATAACGAATATTTTTTTATACAACACTAACAATAAAATGGATCACATGATATTTCTAATTTTTTAACATAAATACTTACAATTGTGATGGTGGTGGCAATGGGAGATAATGGAGATTGACCAAGAAATAAATAAGTACTTGTCAAAACTAGAAAAGCTTTTAAATTATTCTCTTCTAACAATAAATTGTCTCGTTTTTTTCTATAAATGAAATAAAGGGATGAAGCACTCGTCAATATTTTTTTTCCAATATTATTTTCTTCATGACATTACGCATCTTTTTTTTAATTGGGCATTCATTCATTAATAAACATTATGTATTTAGAATTTGTATTCACGGATACCGTAAGGAGGTCCACATTATTAAAATCAAGGGTTTTAATAGTATGTAACCAACCCTCTTAACGGTATTAGCATTCATATCCGTGAATACAAACCCTATATGTATTGATTGATGTTTTACAAACCTGGCAGAAACGTAAATATTATTATTATGTAAATTTGAAATGTTACATATTGTGCAACGCAACTTTTATACTACACAGCAAACATTCTTGGTGATAAAAAGTGATGAATTGGATCTCCTCCAATTTAGAGAGGTAACAACTATATACCAGTGAAGTTTCAGGAGCAATGGGTTCTGTATAACATTTAGTGTAACTAAAAACTTCCACTATGCTTTTGATTTATTGATGATAAGTTTTTATTGCTAATGGTCGATTCTGCTAATTAGTTATTATATATCTTAATACCATTGCCTGCTAGTATAATATACACAATGCTCACTTTGTTGCGGCATGCATATATATATATATATATATAATTAACCGAAAGTTTAAAGTGCGACTTTACAATATAAATGCCGATCACAATTTGGTTCCAGCCACAATAAATAACCCAATGAGAGAGATTTTTAACTTTGCTAAATTTACATATGATCCTCAATCTTATATTAATATTATTTAATATACATTATGTATGACAAAAAAGCTGTGAACAAATTAGAATTTCTTCTTTTTTAAAAAAAAATTTACACACTTACAAACCTGACATCAATAGATAACATAAACATTATGACAACGGGAGCAACAAGAGTTTATATTGGACGTCTTGCTAGAGATGCTCGTGAACGTGATGTTGAAAAGCTGTTTCGTGGATATGGTACCATCAAAGAAATAAAATTAATGAATGGATTTGGCTTTGTTGAATTTCGAGACCATCGTGATGCTGATGATGTTGTTTACAGTTTTAACGGTAAAAGTTTTATGGGTGAAAAGTATGTATATAAATTTTTGTTTATTATATAAACCTTTGCATCAATATTATAAATAAATAATAATTACCGAGCAATTAATTTTTTTTGCTTTCAATAATAATTATAATTAAATAATTAATAATAAAATAGATTAATTGTCGAATATGCCAGAGGAGAACGTAGAAGACGTGAACGTGATGATCGTAGAGGGGACAGAGATGACCGCAGAGATAGGGACAGGGATAGGGATGATCGTCGACGAGACGACCGTGGTGACAGAGATCGTGGCAGGTATGTTCTGAAACTAATTAACTGGGAAACATTTTTCTATTCTTTTTTATTATTTTTTTTAATTAATTATTATTCTTTTCTATTATTATTATTATTTTTTTTTGTAGGTTTGCACCACCTCAGAGAAATCCTCACTATCGTCTAATTGTGGAAAATTTGTCTTCAAGCTGTAGCTGGCAGGTATGCAACTATCATCCAAAATCCAATCAATTGCCGCCTGCAGCTCCTGCTATTTGGCTGGCCTGAATTTTCTGGTGTTTTTTTTCTGCGAGATTCTTCATATTGGACTTGGTTGTGTATCTCTCCCTCCTATCCCTAATGCCCCCAATGGCTACTTAATTCAGCATAAAAATGTCATGGTGATTTCTACCATACATTTTCCTATATCACAATCTCTAAACAAGACTGGTAATTGGCTGTTTAAGAGCTGATTGGGGATTTTTTTTCTTTTCAAAAAATATGGTGTCTTTTGATAATTATTTACGATTTGTTTCATTAAAGGAAAGTGTTCATTAACGTTAAGAGGAGGGAAAATATTAATAATAATATAATCAGGAATGGAGAGAGTAGACACCGGTTTTACAAAATATGGAATCTTTTTGCTCGCCCTTATTTCCGATCTATGATTTGGGTTTCTATTTTCTATCTGCCTTTATGTGTGCCTGTTGTGTTCTATCACCAATCATCGTCATTGGATCTATTGGCTCTTGTTTCTTCCATTGGTTCTTCTCATATGGAATATTACAAGAGTCTAAGAGGGTCATCAGTGAAGAACATCGTCGTCCTTTTACCATATTCAACTCAAAACCTCCTTCCACTCCTACTCTCTCTCCCTCCAATTATTTTTTTAACAAAGGATCTCAAGGACCTAATGCGAAAAGCTGGTGAAGTAACCTTTGCAGATTGTCATAAAGATCGCCATGGAGAAGGGTATGAATTATTTATTAATTATATATTTTAAAAAAATTTTTATTTGAAATGTATATTGATGTATATTTATATTTATTAGTGTGGTTGAATTTTCTTCTTATGAAGATATGAAAAATGCAATCAAAAAACTTGATGACACTGAATTAAAAGGAAAACATATTATTCTTCGTGAAGCTCCGGTAATTATATTTTGTTCATTCGTATATATATTTTTTTATATTTTATATTTTTTTTATATTTAAAAAGATTTTTTTTTTTTAATATATTATAGGATAACGATGTTGATCGTGAGCGTCGTAGAAATTCGCGGTCTCGTTCAAAATCACCACACCGTCGTCGTTCTCTATCTCATTCCCCACCACGTCGTCGTCGTTCTTCCTCAAGATCCAAGTCACCAGTTTCTAATGGAAAAGATAATGGTTCTCGTTCCCCTTCGCCTCATACTAGAAATGATGAATCTCCTAAAAGAAGTAGTGAACCACCTCATGAAGAAGAGGACAAGTAAAGAATCAATTCATAACATATATTTATATAAATTATATTCCTTTAAAAATCTCGGTACTAAAATTAATTTATTTCCATTAACAAATTAGAGAGATGAAGGTTGTTGAAAATGAATAATAGAAAAATAAACAAAAAAATAAAAGAAAATAATAGTGGCATGCTTATATTTTTTATTATATTATCATAATTCATAATATTTATGATGTTCCCATATTTCTTTATTTTATCTCTTTTTTACCTTCTTTTTTAATAATCAATATAAATTTTTTTTTAGGCGTAAATCATTGCAAAAAAAAAAAAAATTTGAAGAATTTACAAATCACCTTTACATTTTAATTAATTAATTAATTTTTATTATTGGTGTAAATTTTTTATTTTTATTTTCGTTCCTTTTTTTACCCTTTAATTAATTTATTTAATATTATTTACTATTAATTTTAAATAATTTGCTAATAATAAAAAAAATTATCGTCAAAATACTTGAAAAGTGGACTAGTCAATCAATATATTAAATCAATTTGTTTGCTACACTACTGAATTTTTTTGGTCCACTTTATCACTGAACCTTTGTTGCCGAGATTAATATTAAAATTACCAACAACCATCTGGATAAAAATAAAAAAAGCTCCTTCCTTTAAACAGCAAAACTTGTGACCGATTTTGGGATAATGCCCTAATACTAATACTAACTTAAAAATATAAATCGAATGAAAAAAGTTTTTTTTGAAAGAAGACATTATTATTATATATAAACAAATTACTTAAAAAAAGAAAAGAAACATGGCGCTCTGTCTAATAAAATATTGAATTGATTAATAATTTATTATATAGTATTGTCGACTATAAAAATAATTAATTATTCGAGAATCATTGTTCATGTTTGTTTTCTTTTTACTTCCAAAAATCCAATCCACTATTTGACGTATAATAAATACGTACTTGCTGCCATGTGAAATAAAAAAAAGCTAACGCGGGAGTAAACGTGTTTGGATAAAAGGATCCCGAACACGCCACACTTCTATTAAATGAATAAACAGACAGCGAGCGTCCAAGGAAAACAAACTATTTTGGCACAGCAAATTTTTCCGAAAGAATCAAAGCCTTTTTTGTAAATATGTCCACTGATAGATTTTAATATTAACAAGAACTATTGCTTTTTCGATCAATTAATGAGAGAAATCTTAATATTAAGCAAAATAATAAACCCATTCATTACTTTTTCGAATTAATAAAGAACTATTACTTTTTTTTGATACTCATGTTATTGTGCTATTATTCTAATGCTAAATTGGAAAGGCACGGTATATATATATGCTAAAAGGAAAAATCTTGTTGCCCATTAATGTTGATCATCTGATTGATTATTATTATGCAGATAGATAGATACAGGTTGATTGAACACTTCAACATGAACTTATTAAAAATTTCATCCTTTCCTGTCTCGCACGTGCTCTGTTGTGTTGCCAATTTGCTTTTCCCAACGTTCTCATGTTAAAATCACCAGATCTCATCAACTGATAATGATCCGATCCTATATTAGTGCTCAAGAAAAGGAAGGCACGAGGTAAGAAACATTAATCCAGTTAATTGTAATTCCACAACCTTAACACTCATCCTTGCTCTCATTAGACAAGCGGAAAAAGTACTGAAAAAATATTGAAACTCATTTAAGACTATGGTGAGTGACACATCCAAGAAAGTGCATTGAGATATTTTACCAATTATTTTAACTATTTTTTTTTTAGTCAACCAAGAAAAAAATTTTATCTACCACTGGGCATTAGTCTTGTATTTTTATCTCTCACAACAGCCCTGGAGCCCTTCTTGAATACATCCTTTGTATTACTGATCAGGGAAAAATTGATTTGCAAGATTTTGATCAATCTATGCTGATCAAACGTGAGACCCTCGAAAATGAAATGAAGTCAACCTTGCAACCCTCTTCAAGGAGAAATTACTGTCTAATTGTAGGTGAACATGGAACAGGAAAGACAACTTGATTCGAAAAACCATATTGAATCTCCAAGAGCCAAAGGTAATTTATTCAATGTTTTCTTCCTTTTCAGTTTATTCACATCCAGTTTCTTTTTGATAGGGTGTTGTCCTTTTTGAATGTCCTACAGATGCAAAGGCATTTGTAACCAATTTGACAAGACACCTAGATTGTAAGTTATATCCGTTGAAGCTTCGAGATATTATCATGCAGTGGATTACTAATGCAATAAGAAAAGGTACTATTTGGTTCTTTTCATGCTTTTCATGGCAATTCACTTCACATTTTTACTCATAAAGGCTTCACTTGGCATGCAGAGCAAGAGGAACATCCAGAATATCCTACTTGGAATCTTTTGAAAGAGCACCTTATCAACACTGCCTTTTGCTACAGACGAGAATATAAACGCCCAATGGTTTTGGTTCTTGATCAAAGTAGACCGCATTGCTAAGAAGGACCAAGAATTTCTTGGGATACTCCAAGATTTTGCAAAGGACTGCGCAGATAAACACGCATTTGTCATTATATTTGTCGCAAGTGAAGGCTTGGTCCTGCAACTCATGCGATGTAAGGTATAATTTTAATATCCTGCTATACATGACTGTGTTGTTCTTACTAAATCTCATTCCTATTATTTAAAGCTCGTTCTGCCTGGTCGCGAGCAATTATTCCCTTAGAAGTTGGTGATATCTCAGATGAAGAAGCCGTAAAATTACTTAAAGATTCTGGTACTGACCAAAAAACTGCTGAAGATGCAGTGAAATACCTGACCGGTGGACGGTTTGCTTTATTGACTCAGTTCCAATCATTGAGTCGATATCCTAAAATTTTGTTTGAAGGTATGTATTTGTTACAATCTCAGTTTCTTAATGTAAATGGCTTGTTTTGGTCTAACATTCCTACTTTTACCAGAATTCAAGGAGCAACTGTTCACGCAGGTTAAGAGAGATTTGGATATGGTGGAACTTCCTGAAAACCATGAATTTTTCATAAAGCTTATCGAAATACATCGTATTGGCATTCAGCAAGCTAAAACAATTATACCTCTCAACATGCTTCGCAAACTTGTCAAGGCTAACATTCTCAAAGAACATCAGGACTACACAGTGTCCTTTCATTCACATTATATCGATACCTACTTTAAAGAGGTAATTCTTGCTGATAAAATTGCGATTTGATTCATAAATATTCTAACCTTGATGAATTTACTTTAGGTGAACAAATCCTAGTTTGTGCAGATTATAAATACAATGATTTTTTATCCGGGGTGAAATATTTATCATGTTAAATAAAAAAAGATTCAATAAAGAGAGATGAAAGTAAAGCAATTTGGCAGGTATATGTATGCGCTAGATATATCTCAAAATTTATGTGGACATCAACGTCTATATTCTATGCTTTTACTGTTGCGAACTTGAATTTTTTACTTGAATGATCACATGTAAGATAGTATCCATTTTTATTCCATTCACCATGTATTCCATGATTCATTATACATATATTATATTATATATTATATATACACATATTATCTATATCTTCTATATAGTATTATTATTGTTAATTAGCAATGTCTTGTGAAGGAATTTGCTAGAGAAAGTCTTGCTGTTGAGAGACAATTATTATAATATTTGGAGGTTACGTACTCAATAGAAATACTACTTGTAAATAATAGCTATTGGAATGCAATTCTTGTAAAGTTTCTAAGGGTCAAATCACGAATAGGAACTCTAATTGTGAGTTTAATAATTGTGATTTTTATCTTTACTAGATATTTTATTATTTACGGAATCCGGAAGTAGCCTTGTTTGTATACGGATGAAAATTTACCCACAAAATCTTTAAAATCCTTATAAGAAATTGATTGAAGATAATAATCATTATTATTATAATTTGCCATTTTATGTGTGATTATGAATCAGAGAGAAATTAATCAAATTTATTTTAAACTTTTAGAAATAATAATAAAAATAATAAAAACAAACCGAATTAAATAATAAATATAAAAGGTAATTAATAAACGGTGAAAAATAATTAATTATCTATATACCCATCAACAATTCACCCAATTCCCCAACTTTAACCTTATCAACTACTTATTATTATCATCATTATAATTATAATTAATTAATAAATAATCGTATTTAAATTAATAACTTAATGCCTCATTAAAATTATATTTCATAATTTAATAAGCTATCATTACTTAAATTCAATTTAGCTAATTCATCATTTAATATTCTACTTGTATGATATGCTAATGGGTGTGATTTGTGTACTTGTTGTGAATCACTACTACTAATACTAATATTATTATTATCATGATTATTATTGATAATTTCTTTTTGTTGATTCTTAGCAAAATTCCAAAGCTCACCAATAGTTGGTCTCTTGGCTGAATCCACATCCCAACACTTTTTCATCATTTGTGCATACTCATCAGGCATTCCTGGTAATATTGGTGGTCGTAAACCTGCACATATATTAGACATTAAGTCACAATTATGAGATTTATCATCAAATGGTGGATGACCTGCAAATATTTCCCACATTAACATCCCAACACTATAAACATCTGTTTCTTTTGTGTATTTTTTTCCTCTAAGTAGCTCAGGTGCAATATAAGATATAATTCCATAAATTTTATTTGTTAATTTTTCATCAACTGGTCCACATAACCCAAAATCTGTGATAAAACAACTACCTCCTTGTAATCACAATGAATTAAATCTTTTTCATGTATAAAATATAATGATTCACATAAAAATGTAGAAATATTGATTCTATCTTTTAATGTTAAATTATAATGATTTTTTTGTATATAATCTCTTAAATTTCCCTCTGAATGATAATTAAGAACTATTGCATAATTTCCATTTTCTGGAAATTCAGTTATACCATAACAAGAAACAATTAAATTTGATTTAATTTTACAGTAATTCAATGCCTGAAATTAATAATTAATTATATAAATAAAGTGATTTAATTTAGTTTATTTTAAATAAGAACAATTACCTCATCAAAAAAAGGTTTTCCTGGATTACTTGAATTATTTAATGATTTTAATACTACTTGCTCAACTCCAAAATAATTAAACTCCTTTTTATTTTCACCATAATCATCAATAGATCCTCTTGTCCATGTAGCAGTATAAATAGAACTGAATCCACCCTCTGTTAACTTTTTTATATCATAAAATTGCTCATAAGGTATCCATTCTATAATATGCTGCGGAAGAGATGAAAGCTGTTGACATTCTTGAATAAAACTATCAATTATCTCATTTCCAGATGTCCAAGTACTAAAAAGGCTCTGTAAGTGTAGACTAACACACTTTTCACAATATTTATCAGAGTATCTTTCTGCTTTACAATTATTGCATTCTCTTGGTTTACCAAGTTTATGAATTGCATTGTTTAATTCGAAATTATAAACAAACCTTTTGCTACAATATTCCTTTTCATTTTCTAATAGTTCTTTGTTTTCTTTGACTAATTGTAAAAAATAACTTTTATAATTTTCATTGTCAGCAACAACCGGAAAAGCAGAATAAGCAATACTATGCATTTCATTATAAATTTTAATTGCTAATTCTTTTCTGTCTGATGCTAATAACTTATATAAATTATTAAAGGACGTTTTAACTTTTTAATATTTATTTTAAAAAAAATTAATTTTTTATGACAACATTCCTTTTTGTGGTTTTTTTTTGCAAATATAATTTATTATCTAATTTCTCCTACAATATTTGAATATAGTATGAATGAGTGCGCTAGGCTGGAATGAAAACAACTTGTAACTCAATTTTGGCGCAATTTCTTTCATCTTTTCTAGTGCTCTTGAAAAATCGAAACTAAACCGAAAATCACATCTTTCGGATTGAATTCAGTTAAAACTTTATAAATACCATCCATTTTCATCATCCTCATTATTTTCAGATCCCTTGATTTTGGACATAACAATACAATCAACTTCAAGAAGAATTTATTAAATTATTTAAAAAAATAACGATAACAAATTTATTATAACTGATTCGAAGTTCTAAATAGATAGGCTTACCTCAATTTTATTGAACTCCTGATTCTTTTCAATCGTTGTTCATTGTCAAGAACCTCGTCTCCTGTATTTTCGCTTATCGCTCCCCAAATATCTATTTTTTAAAGAACTGTCTTTTTAAAGAATGTATATACTAAAAATAAAAACACCTCTACCTTTTATTCGCAGCTGAAAATTTATTTATGTAAAATTTTCTAAAGCTACTAGAACTGTTTACACCAGGTCTTACCAATTGAAGATGAATTCATGTTTTCGCAATTATCATGTCATGATGAATATTTAAAGTTCACATTGTCTCTTTAAGTTATTCATATCTGAAACAACTTCGTTTCTATATAATTAATTATCAACAAAGCTTCAATTTTTTTAAATGGTAATATATTCTCCTGATTTAACGAGAAAAGAAAAAAAACAACTATACGAATATGGATCGCAATTTGTAATCAGACCTCACTCTGCGGTTCATTGACAGTATATAGGGAGTTGCAAGATGAATATTTACAAAAATAAGGCATGAAGGCAGCATGTTTGAATTTATATGCTGAGAGACAAGTATTTATGAATAGAATTTTAACACTGCCTCGATTATAGCACAATTGCTCAAGTTATACTGGGAGCAACTAAAGCAACAGTTAAACCAACAACGGTCAACAAATTATGGATGGCATCGAAAAGAATTTTGATTGACCAGATTACCACAAAATGGTTTCAATTGTTAGTTAATTGTTCAAGAACGATTCTACAATGATAATGATTATTACAAATGATCTCTCTCAATTTATTTTATCAAGGAAGCGGATACAAATAGTTTGAATTTATGATTGTTAATATATAATCAGGAACAGTAAGCGATGCAATAATTTGTTAATAATATTATAATTATTAATTATTTGACAAATATTTTATAAATACTTTATTCTAGCCATCAATTTCGCAAGAAAAAGGCTAAGGTGTATGTGACCCTCGAGACTTGAGTGATATAATGCAATGGCCATTTATTAATAATGCCATTTATCAGGATGATGTTGTTGTTTTACTTAATTTTGAATCAAAATAAACCAATCGTAACAAAAAACAGGATCTAGTATGTATGAATGAACAACGAAATATTGAACAAATAAATTTGACGCTCAAAAGCATATTTTGAACAATGAAGTCAACAAATTGGTTGAAATAAATATATAAAGATTCTTCATTTTATTTCGTCTAGTATGTTTTTTTTTTTAATTAAAAAGTACATTTTACATTAAATTTCCAATCCATCATGATTAACTAACTTTCTCCGATCTCTCATATTCAAACAAAACATTTTTTAAAGAACTTGCTCTGCTTAATTCTAAGTATGCTCAATATGCTTTCATCGATAGGGATGGTCATATGATGTATTCAGATATAGTTCATATGCTATACACACTCTAATTACAATGGCAATTACCTTTTTATCTAGAATTGATGGGATGTAAAGCAATCTAGGTCAAATTAAATATTAGATTAGATAAAGGAAAAAAAATAAGATTTTACTTCCGTCTAGGATTTATACTTTGACTAAATCATCAAAATAACCCTTGGTAAAAAACTACCTTTAGTCAACATTTTAACGATTAGTACTAGTACTGGAAATTCCGATGACAAATATACGGATTTTTTTTTTTAACAAAACATAAATACATATAATAAAAAACAGATTGATCATATAGTTGGTTAGCTCTAACTTTTCTAGGCAAATAAGATTCGGCAGAAGTATTTTTTTATTATTTTCTTTATTTTATACAAATATGTGATTTGTGATTGGTCTTTTTTGTTCTTTTAAATTGACAAGTCATAATGGATTACATTGATGCCTATATTTTACTTTATTTAAGGCATCATTGTTTCCAGTATAAATTAAATCATTTTCAATATCTGTATTCTCTATATTAATATGAATGTTGTTTTCAGGTACATTCATTAGATGATTCATTTACAATGCCTATATTAAATTCCCACTTCCCTTTCTCGATGCAATTGGATTTCTAATCTAATAACACTATACACCATACGAATTGCAACTATCCACCATTTTGGATTAACCTAAGAAAAATGGTTCAAATCAATATGCGATGATATATATTAAAATTTATTGTTTTATACATCAAATCCATGTCCTTATATATATATATATACACACATAATCCTCAACGCCATAGATAGGATTTCGTGATACACACGTATATTAGCCCGCAGTAATTAACCAAAAAGTCTTTCCACGAAATATTTTTCTTTTTGATTCTTATTTAAACTAATTAATTTTCCACCAATTGATACCTAGTTTTGACTTTCTAAGTTCTTTTCTAGGAAAATAATAGAAACCACTCTATAAATTATTTATTTATTTATTTTTTGATGAGTAAAATGAAGAATAATGATATAAATAACCGTTTTTTGTTCGTATCATTGTTGTGTTAACACTTAATATTGCTATTGTTCATTGAACATAGGCAAACGAATTTTCTTTGTTAAAGTTTCACATCATTATAAACTTAATTGGGCGGTTCGATTTATCTGATAAGGTTGACGATTTTTGTAATATTAATTTAAAATTAAATGATAAAAAAAGACTAACTATGAATAGCATAATTGATACTGTGAATGCCAAGGTTTTTTTAATAAGATATCACAAATATTAACATTGTTTTACGAAAAATTGCATATTGTAAATGTTATAACCGGATAATATTGAAACATTCGTAAACCGATCATATCCCGTAAACCAATCACTATTACGATCATTTCACACCTTATAACAGGGAATTTTGATTAATTTCTTAAACACCCGGGTAATAACATTATGATTTGCATTATCTCATCTAAATGACAACACGACTTTTACTTCATTCTAATTGCCTTATTTTACTTTTTCATTCTACCTATCTGTAGCATCTGTTGTGTTGTTGCTGGTTACAGTACAACTTGATTGGTAGGATAGAATTTTTTCATTATATCTCTCTTTTTTATCATATCAATGCACCATTGAACTAACGATTCCCAAATAAAGTAATAGTTTTAAATAAATAAAATAACAATTTGCGCATTATCGGCTAATTAATAAATTAGGACAAATGATTATTTTATGCATTTAATTTTGAATGTGTGTCTATTTTTTTAGTTTTGCTGTTGTCGATAAAAAAAACTCATTTGTATGAGAACATATTATATTTTTAAACCGCATACAATATATATTGTAATATTGATCCAAACAATGTCACCAAAAAATGAGGTTTTTTTAAGTTTGTGTAACTTCTAACTGTGGATTCCAAATCGGTAAAAGAAAGAACCCTCATTGTTTGCCAAAAAAGTTTGATAGATTTAATATAATACATAAATGTCGATTATTTAGGTCAATTTAAATAAATATATTAATATTATTTTTCAATTGTTATTTGTATAAATCAACAATGTGTGAACTAGAATAATATAACAAGATGTATAAATAAAAACCATTATAATATGAAAAAAAACCGCATCAAAATTTTTTTTTTATTTTTTGGTTTTTTGTTTTTTTTTTCGCAACCTTTTTCTTTTTTCTTTTTTAGTAAACAAGCTTTAATAAAATTAAAAAGAAAAAGTAATTGCAAAAAAAATTTTACTATAAATACAACACATTCTTTTTTTCCCACCGATTCCCCTTTCTTCTTTCTTCACCTTATTGCAGGTCAAATCACTTCAATTCTACTTTAAATTTTTATTACCATAATCATTATTTTGTCATCATATAAATATAATCGTAAAATAATATCAATTATATTTATTTTTTTTGTTTATGAAAAGAAGAAAAAGAAGAAATAATTTAGTTACTCATATTTATTATTCATAATGAGTAATGATACTAGTTATGACCCAAACACTGATCCAAATGCCCCTTACGTAGATTACGGTGTGAATCCAGAGTTTACACAGGACATTGAACATTTTCGATTAGAAGCAACTTACGACAAATTAAATTTTTATCTAAGCATTATAAGTATTTCATGTGGTTTCTTGGTATTATTTATCATGACCATTATGTGGCTTTATGATAGAAAGTTGGTCGATCGTGTATCATTGAGGTTGACTGCAATGATTTCCTTTGTGGATATGTTAAATGGTGGAACTGTGTTGGCGTACACGCTATGGATTCCTGTAGATGGTACATTATGCACTGCTATTGGATTTGGAATGAGTTTTTTCCCTCAGTTATATTTATTTCTAACTGTTATGATTGCATTCAATCTACAGGTAATTAGAATTATTGTTAGCGTAAATATTGATTTTTTAGTATTATTACAAATTATTAATAGCAAAAAAATTTATTTTCTTGGTGATTGCAGGTTGTTTTTCTTCACAGAAGAAAAGTTTCAAGATTTTCAGATAGATGGTATGTTCCGGTAGCGTTTCTAACAGCATTAATTATAAACATACCACCGCTAGTCTATAATAGATTTGGCTTTGACATTGATGTCATTGATTGTTTATACAGAGAAGGTTATTCCGAGGCAACAAGATGGTGGTCAATTTTAACATTTTTCATTCCAATAACAATATCAATGATTTATTGTACAACGGTTTTGATGATTGTGGTGTGTAAATTGATCTTTGAACATCGTCAATTGGCAGAAGTCATACAATCTTCAAAAAGCAATAAAACCTTATCAGTAAAAGCCAGACACAAAAAATTATTATTGTTAAAATTGGTTAGTCGTATTTCTCTTTATGCGTTAATACCTTTGCTCAATGTAAGCGGTATCTTGGTGGAACTTATTTATACTTCAGTGCACAAAAAAAATCGAACCGAGCCTCAGGCTATAATTTTTTGGTCAATTATTGGAACATGTTCTCCTGGAATTTTTAATTTTTTTGCATTCGTATTCGATCCAGCTTTACATAATGGTTTTAGAAGGTATAAAAGAGTTTTGGTGGATAGTTATGGCTTTGTGAAGCCGTTCGACGACGATAATAGCAAAGCAACTGTCTCTTTAAATAGTCCACCATTGTCACCATCAGAATTTAGGTTTCCGTCAAATACACCAGCAACTGCAACGACAGCTGCATCTTTTAATAGTATTGGTAATATCACTAATAATAATGACAACATTAACAACAACATTAATAATAATTTTAATAATAATAAAATTCAACCCCAATCATCACCAATATTAACTGAAATTTCAATTGCACCACCTAACACCAACCTTAATAGAACTTTTAGAAATTCATCATTAACATTACCCCCAATAACACCACTACAAAAATCATCATCACCAATCCTAAGTAAGAGTAAATTTATGAAATGGTTTGTACGTAGTTTCCTACTTGACAAACAACAAAAATCTCGATTAAAACAACAAAAACTACGAAAAAGTCAACTAAAAGAATCAATTAAATCACAACAATCACAACAACAACAACACCACTATTCTTCTTCTTCATCGCCTTCAATGATTA